CGTTATACGCACCATAATCTTTCTCAATGTTTAAATCTCTTATCGGGCACTGTAAACGTATTGCCGTACCTATAGAAAATAAGAATGGAATAGTCTTCTAATATTCAAAGCCTAATCATAACAAGATTAGGCTATCGTAACGCAATCAGAATGATTAAAGGTGATGCGAAATTTCGTCTATCGTGTTCGGCACTTAAATGCTTGTGTTGCTACATTCTGGCAGGGAGCTTGCAGAAGCGCATAAAGCGAGAGCCTCGGTGGACAGCCAGAGTCAGGAGGCAGTGCTCAGTGCAGAGATGGTGTTGAGGGATGAGATGAAGGTGGCGCTACAGCAAGCTCATCAGCAATCACGCGATGAGCAGGAGGCACTTGTTATCAACGTGAGCACCACTTGCACGTTATTGCTCTATAGTGGCGTTGTTAACGCGTGCACACGATCACGAATGTCAAATATCCGCTGTTAAGTATTTTCTGGCTTAGGGCATGTAGTGTTATATGTGGATAATCGATAAGTATTCATATAATGGCTATTTCCACTGGTTCTTAGAAGATGACATAATTTGATCATTGGTAAGTGAGAGAGAGCGAGCGAGAAAGAGAGCGTGCACAATCAGGAGAGAAGGGAGAGGAAGGAAGGGAAGGGTTAAGAAAGAATGAGAGAGAAACATACATAGAGTGAAGACAGGGACAGAGATGAATTAACAAGTTAATTTACAGTTTTGCATCTTTGCCATGATTCTCTAGATAGAGGATCTACACAATAACTTATCGAGGGCAGAGAAACAGCAGGCACGCAAGGAGGATCAGTTGCGCCTCGAAGTTTGTGATCTGCAGAAGAGGCTGCAGGAATCAGAAGCCAGAAGCCAGGAACTCACACACAACATCTCTCTTGGTGAGTGCAAGCGAGCGTCATAGTTCACGTAACACATCTGTAATTTGTAACATCTGTAGTTTCGTTTCACATTCCTGAATGATGAACTGAGTGAAGTCACTGAAGATACTGTGCTCCTCAGTGCAGTGGTTCTTTTCTCAGTAAGAAGAAGGTCAGGCATTGAAGCTACTAGTGTTGGATATCATGTTTGTGCAATCGCTACTGAAATTCTGTCCTGTTGGATGTGTCAGATGCAGATGATGGTGGTTTTGCTTCAGCCTGCTTCTATTCATTGCCACAACAGGAACGATTTTGTGTTTCTTTCCACAAATGGAGGTTTTTTTACTGAAGGCTATTGGGATCACGAACATACACAGAATCATTTGAAGTACAGGTAGTTTTTTAGAGGGTTTGTCGCTTTGTGACTTCTGTTACTCCTGCTTTACTTGCAGCGTTATGTTAGTATTGCCATGGGCTATACTTGGTACATGTGTTGTTGGAAGGTTGGTCTGGTAGACTCTTTGAGTCATTCTGCTAGCAAAGTACTGTTAGGTAGCAACAGTGTGCTTCTTCGGCAAAGCATAGCCATATGGAGGGTCCGTTTGTACTTCTGTGTGTTTCTGCAACAGAATCTTAACAGTTTTCGCAGTCCTTCCTATCTTGAGCATCTTCCTAGTGACATATGGTGGCCAATTTTGCCGTAGCCATATACGATGATATCTCCGGGGATCCCAATGACTCCTAGCAGTTCTCTAAAGGCTTCATCTACCTTTATACCTACATCCTGCAGACAGAGCGACTGACGGACGGAAGAACGGACAGACACACGGACTGACAGATTATATCTTAGACTGGTCGGGTGCTCCTCTGATTATTCAATTAATTTAATGGATTTATGTGTGATGGAGTGATAAGTTATATGCAGAGAACCAGTCTAGACATTCGATTTGAGAGGTTTAACAGCATAATATTAAATCTAAGGTGTCTGATTGGTTGAGATTCGTATTCTCAAAGGTATTTGTAATGTTTATCAAAATAATATTTGTTTAAACATTTACTTTGGTTGCAGCGACCCGGCCTCTGTTGAGACAGATTGAGAATGTGCAGTCACAATTTGCTCAGCAGTCTAGTTCCTGGGAGAAGGTTGAGAGAGGCTTGATGGATCGACTCGGTAAGTTTACGCAGTCCTCTCCATTGCCTGCACGCTTCAAATTTCCTCACGCTTCTTTTACCAGAAACGTTTCTGATCGATTGGAGCTTTTTTACTTATTACTGAATGTTACCAGCTGGCGTCTAACAGGATCTGATTGATTGTTGAAGTGCTTCTGATATTTTGCCATCCTATGTAATCTGCTAATGGTGTGTTGTGCAAACTCGGAACAGATTAATTGCTGAAATTGGGTTTGCTCGAAATTATCAATGACCGCGTTCCGGTGAAAAGCACTACTCTCTCGCACGTTTCCATGCCAACCACCCATGTTATTGCAGCCGATTCACAGAGCCAGGTGGCAGGACTGCGCGAAAAGGACCAGGTGTTAACGGAACGTGTGATGGAGCTTCAGAGTAGGGCAATGTCACTAGACTCACAGCTGTCTGTGCTGAGGCAGGACAAATCTCGTCTGACAGCTGACCTGGAGGCTGGGAAGCAACGCTTGATCATGCTTGAGGAAGCCAGAGTCACGTATGTATCCCGATGATGATGATAGCGTGCAGATGAACACTTAATGAACACAGTGTGATTAGTAGTAAGGTGAGAACACATTTATTACAATCGTCATCTGAATTAAAAATCAAACATTGCCAAATAAAAGGCAAAATATTGCCAAAAAATGACAACTAGCATTGTTGATTATACATACGATTCTTTATTATCTAAAAACTGATTTTCATTGTAACATTGATAAGGAATTACTATTTTCAACATATAATTACAATTGGCAACAAAATCTAGATATACTGGTACTTACTGCATAATGCAGAGCTACATCCAATTATCTAAATTATCTACAAAAGTACTTGAGAGCATCTAGTTTGAGCATATGCGTTATGTGTTGGTTGTCTGGTTTCAGGGAGGTGTCAGAGTACAAGTTGCTGCACACGCAGCTTGAGGACAAGCTCACCGAGGAAAAGAAGGCTAATCTTCTGCTAGAGAGTCGATTAGAGATGGTAGCCATGAAGCTGGAAGCAGAGAAGAAGAAGGTGGCTTTGGCCCATGAAGCACTGAAGGAGAAGGTCTCACCCCGCAGCATAACCTTACACTCATCTTGAAAATAATAACTACAGTACCATACATGTTTTAAATGGATAATATCTTGTGAAACTCTTAACCCTTCGTCTTTCTGAAAGTGAGGCAATAGTTGTATGTGATGTAGTTCTCTGCAATTATAAGTAACTGGTACAAAGATCTTTTGTATTGTTAACCCCAGGAAAAGGCTAAATACAACAGCAGTAATGAGGTGCACGCAGTGAGGTCCTCGCCACCACCACCACCATCACCTACAGGCAGCAGTAGAAGTACCGCTGACAGCATAGATAGGTTATCCGTCTCCGTGTCACAGGTACATGTCATTCAGACACTCTTACTGATCCATTTCGATTTCAGTATAGTTCTGATGTGAAGAATAAGCATTATCTGGCTGACATGCCACATGCATGTGCTGACGTGCTAGTGCCACACTTGCTCGCAACTCGTTGTGCTATCGATCTTGACGATATTGATAAAAATACTTATTGCCTACTATACAGCAGTTTATCTCGTAGGTCACAGATACTGCTTAATGTCATCTAGATATACTATCAGCTCATCCGCTACGTTGATTGAATAATTTCATCAGATCTCTATAGTTCACATG